ACCAGGGCAGTTAAGTGGGGGTTTGGAGAAGGTCAGTAGGAACTGGGAGGTGTGTCTGGGCTGGGTGCAGGGACAGGATGAACAGGCTTAACCAGGGCTCTCTTGGACCCATTTTCCCCACCCTGGGGAAAGCAAGAGCACTGCTGTAATAAACAGCTGGGAGTCAGCTCTGAGTGTTCCACCATTGCTTCTACCTGCCCACAGTGACCCCCTGTTCAGAGCAATCTGGCTGGGAAGGTGGGTGGGCAGCAGGGCAGCTCCCCGCCCTTGTGACTGAGGAAAGATGAAACAAACCACAGTGTTCTGGGGGCTGGCTGGAGGACAGGCAGAAACCTCAGAGTTTTGGGGACACAGGTTGATGCCTGAGTTCTTGGGCCAATGGGAGAGAAGCCCAGTCCCATAGTTCCTCTGTAAGGGGGTATGCCAGCATCAACCTGGGGGAGAGGGGCTTCAATCCACTGTAGGTCTTTTAGAGCAAGACCAGGTGCACAGCCACACCAAGACTCAGAGCTGCCAAGACATGGAGACCAGAGGAGAAGCTGGGTGCCTGCTTAGACCCTGAGAAGCTGAGCTCTTCAATCTCACCATGGGGACCCCAGGGGCAGCTTCCCTGTATTCTGTTTGTAGCTCTGAGAGGACAGGTCATGTTGTCCTCACTCTCATCTGGCACAGACCAGCAGCAGGAGCTCTTCCACAGACATTTGCTGGCTGGAATTAACCAGAACCAGCCCAGAGACGCAGGGACTCAACCATGTATGGGGCTGGAGCCTGCATACAGTCTTGCTCTGTCTCATGCATGCCTTCTCAAGGCTCAGCTGTTTCCAGGGATGTAGGAGGTATGGCCCCGAAGGAGGGGGCTGTGCCAGGGTGGCAGATGGGGCCTGCAGGGCACTGGCTAGGATTGTGCAATTTCCTGCAGCCCAGGAGCAAGGCCCCCCATGTGCAGCACTGGGAGGAGGGGGCCTGGCAGGCTTTGAAGGGAGCCTGGGTTCCATGGCCTCCCAGACTGGGAGCCTTTGAAAGAACATCTGGAACTTGGGCAACAGGCAAGCCAGTCTCTGGATTTGCAAAACCAAAAGTTAATCCTGACTTTGCCACTTGTGTGTTCCCCACCCAGCCCCACCTCCCACCTCTACCTCTACCAGGGTGACAGCTGCAGCCTCTTGTGGACTGGGGCAGCACCTTCCCCCCGCATCCCACTACCCACCACCCAGCCCAGGATTGTTGCTGAGCTGAACAAGGGAGGGATGGGAAAGATGAGGGCTGTCTTCTCTGTGACCCCTTTGCATGGAGACTCAGCCAAGCAGACTCTGGGCAAATAAGCTCTGCTGCATGCCTGGTGTGGGTGCTGAATGGGCTCAGGGCTGCAGCCCAGGCAGGGAGACCAGGGAGGAAACACCTGCTCCCAGACCTGGAGGATGCCTGGCTTTGTGGGCTCTTGGCCCTTTCGTGTGAGTGTGAGTGTGGGGTCCCAAGACCTGCAGGTGTGCAAGGAGGCTGCCTGCTCCAGCTGTGGTGGACTTGGAACAAACAACCCCCACCCCAGGAAGCACATACTCACTGGGGGCCAGTGCCAGGTGCTGAGACCCATTGTCCCTGCCAGTGGCCTTCAGGACCTTGGGGGAGGCCCAGGGAAAGCCGCCATCCTGCCCCTCCCCAGGAAAAGACTCAGTTTTGTAAACACAGAAACAACCATTCCCTCCATTAAAATCCGGAAGAACCAGCAAGCAGGTCGCACCTGCTGTGGGAAGTGAGTCCTTGCTTGGGGGAAATTAAACGGTCGGGCCCTCAGGGGCTGGGGTGGGACACCATGGGGTCAGAGGCGTCTCCTGGGGACATCTCCTGACCGTGTTGACTGGACTCTGCTCCTATCTGCGGAGGGACTTCAGTCCGAAGTGCCCTGGGGGACTCGTTGACATCAGTGTCCACCTTGTCGCTCCCTGACCCCCGCATGGCCTAGTTGTGGCGCTGGGGAGAGGCCGCCAAGGCTCCCTGCCAAACGAATAGCCCTGTCCTTGGGCTGCCCCAGGCGCCCCCTGCCCGGCGTGAGGCCAGGGGTCGAGGCTGCGGCCCGAGATAAGCACCGCTTCCTGCACTCGCTCCCAGCGCCGCCGCGCGACGCTTCCTGTTTTCTCACGCTGGCGGAGGGGTCGTGGGAGACGGGGCGCGCCGAGAGGCGGGGTCCCAGGGAAGGGACACCCCGGGAGAGCCGCGCTAAGGGGTGCGCCGTGCCCTCTTGCCTACCCTGAGCACATGCTGGGCCCCGAACCCCTCCCAGGTTCTCCTCCTGGGCCCTCCTCCGTGGACTGGTTCGCAGCAGGGTTACAACAGCCAGAGGATAAAACCGCGGGCGAATAGGTAAAGTGGCACCACGCAGACTATGAGCAGCGAGAAGGAATGACATTCAGTCGTATGCTACTACAAGGCCGGTGCCCGCACCTTGATTCCACATACAGCCGCCCCTTATAGGGCACACTTCCAAGACCCCAGGGCTGCCTGAGTCTTCAGCCCAATACTGAGTCCTGTGCACTGCTTTCTCTAGACAGGGACCTATGATAAGGGTTAATTCACAAATTAAGCACATTGAGACCGACAACTGATAATATAGAACAGCTACAACATTGCTATAAGAAAAGTATGTGAATGTCTTCTCTCAAGATACCTCATGCTGTGCTCACCCTCTTCTTGTTAATCTTAAGTAACAAAAAGTGATTGGGTGGATGAGGGGAGTAGTGTGTATGAAATGTCCAGAATGAGCAAATCCATAAGATGAAAAGCAGGTTAGAATTGTTTAGGGGCAGGGCATGGGAAAAATGGAGAATATTGGGTTTCTTATGGGGGTGGGGGTGATGAAAAAGCTCTAAAATGAGGCAGTCATAATGGTTCACAACTCTATGAATATGTCATGTAGGCTGGGCTCAGTGGTGCACACCTATAATCCCAGTGACTTGCAGGGCTGAGGCAGGAGGACTGCAACTTTAAGACCAGCCTCAGAAACCCTGTCTCAAAATAAATAAAAAGGGCTGGGTATGTAGCTCAGTGGTAGAGCACCCTTGGGTTCAATCCCCAGCATCACAAAATAAAATGTGTGTGTAGGTTTTGTAGAACGTAAGTTAAGTGGTTGAGTTTTCTAGTGTCCAGGTGAGTGGAGGAGGAGGAGGACATAGACTCCAAACACACCTGCCCCCCTTGTCTGCCCCAATGTGTATCTTCAGGTGGCATGTGTTGGTGTCCTTAGGGTGCTCAAGGTAATAAGCATGCCTGCTGGGGACAGAAGTGCACCTTATCTTCTCTCAGCACCCCTTTCCTTGTTGAAGAGGTTCGACACTTCATCCAAGTGAGGGAGAGCCTGGTTCTGAACATGGAGAAGGAGAGGGAGATCAGACCCCCCAGGAAGGAGACCTATAGAGCAAGGAGGGAAAGACTAGCCATGGTCTGGGGTCCAGCTGGAGGGTAGCTCCATCCTTGGGGGAGAGGGAAGAGGTGCTGGGAAGAGGGTCCTGCTGGGAGGCCACCCAGTGCTGCTGAGGAACCACTGTTGGAGCTGCCCTTGGTAGGCACCATCCTGCTCTCAATGTTACAAGCCCCTAGGACTTGCCCCAAACAGGGCCCCTGACATTGGAGATCTGCGGTCTCCTCACACAGACTGTGGGCTAAACTGCCACCCCATTGGCCTAGAGGGGCGGCCCTTCTGGGGGGGATGAATGTCACTCTGGCCTGCTGCAGCATGTCTGTTCATCACTTCTGTGTGTTTACAGGTGTGGCTGGGGTGAGTTCCTTGGGAGCATGCCCCACCCCAAACAGGGAGGCACTTGGGCACCTTTCAGTGAGTTCAAACAGAGGACAAGCTGAACCCTCTTTCTCCTTCTCCCCCAACTTGTCTGTTTCTGTCCCCTCTGTGTGTCTCTGTCCTGTTTCTGAGTTCTCTGGGCTCTCCAACTGATAGTGGGTGGGGGCCATACTGAGAGTCTGTCCCACTCCCAGGCTGTGTGCTCACACCCCACATCTGACACTAAGCTGTGATGACTCTTAAAGTCCATCTGCACAACCCCTGGTGTATGCCATGGGGGCACTGGGGTAAGACAGGCTCCTTCCCCAGGTAGGGAAAATAGGACCCCTTCTCTAGGCTGAGAAGAACTGGGAGGTCTTGGGGGTATGAGTAATCAGGATCCCCACTGGGGGTGATTGTTATACCCTTCCCTAAAGGAGACCTCATTCAGTGAGAGGCTTTGAAAGGACTTGGGAGGCCCAAGGAGATGGTATGGAAAGTGGGGTCCAGACCTCCTGGGAGGGGCCCAGGGATAGTATGATTGGGGTTCCACAGTTGGAAAGCTTGAGGCTTGATGTCTGGGGATCTTTGGTCATCAACACTGTGCAAGCAGAAGCTGGATAGTTCACTGTGGGGAGCAGGGTGGGCACAGCCTGGGTGGGTGCTGCCTTTCTTTGGGATGTGGGGGTGAGTGGAAACTCCTGCAGGGGCCCTGGGGTGCTGTGTCTGTCCATAGGTGTCAGGCCTGTGGTGGCACTGGGCAAGGGATGCTGTTCTGGGCAGCCAGCCCCTGGGCTTGACAGTTTTAAGAAGCAGATGAGCATGATGGGGTAAGGGCCTGGGGGGTTGCTGGCTTGTCCAACTCACTCCTTTGAGTCACAGTGGGGTTGGGGCACATTAGAGCAGGCTGGGAGGGTGACCTGTGACTGCTGTCAAGGGGCTGCTGCCCTGGACCCATGGGGCTCATCTGAGGTCAGCTCCCTAGGGAGATCAGGAGGACGGCAGGTTGAGGACTCTTGCGGATGATACTCTTCCTGCCCCAACAACCAAGACACAGGTATGCAGAGGGAAGGCCCCGCACTTTATTTGTGGCCCCTGAGCCAGGGTAACCCAGATCCTGGTCCCTCTTTTACAGCAAACCAACATTGTTATTCCTTGTTTTTAAAAGCCCTTGCTACATAGATGCTGGTGATCACTGAAACCCCTTGGAAAAAAAAGTTGAAAAGTTTAATTAAAAATTAAATATATTGTATTATGTATATAAAAAAAGGGAAAGTAAAAAAAAAATCTGGTTCTAAAAGATACACTGCAGGGAAAGAACTAAGTGCTTTGAAAAGCTGAACCCTGGCAGGGCCAGCCAGGAGGTCCGAGACTCCGGCTCCTGCAACAGCCCCAACTCCTGGGAGAGGCCCTCAGGACCCCCAGAGCCAGGATGGTGGCAGGAAGACAGGCAGCAAGCTGCCAGCGTCCTGAGGCTGTGGCATAGTCAAAACATATATCTGCAAGAAGGAGAGGGCAGCGGCAGCCGGCCATAGGGTCGCAGTGGCAACAGGAGGAAGCGGACAGCGGCTTAGCCGGAGATGCAGGCGCTGTAGTAGACAGCGCTGCTAGCATCTGACAGCGCTGAGATCAGGCTGCTCTCCTCCGGGCAGGTCATGGTGCGTGGACCCAATTTGGCCAGAGCCACGTGGTATGGGAGCGCAGAGGCGTCAGGCCGAGTCCGGCTGCAGTTGAGGTACTGGTCGAACTCGGTGAGGTCCACGTCTGCCCAGAGGTCAGCGGCGGGCCCCAGTGGCTCAGCTCCCTCCAACGGTGGAGCCTCCGGCGGCGGCGACAACGGGCTGGGGTATGGGCCCGGCGTGCCCAGGGCACCGTAGTAGAGGCCAGCGAGGGGTGTGGCGGGCGGCGCGGTCCTGAGCGCCTCGGCCAGGGGAGCCCCAAAGCAGCTGCTGGGGTCCCGGGCCAACTCCGGGGCATAGGGCGCACGGAAGGCCCGCAGCGTGCAGTCTTCTGGCACCGCAGGCGGCGGAAAGAAGGCGGCCTCGCCGGGCTCCAGGCCGTCCAGCGGTGAGCGCTCGGGTGTGGGCAGCCCCAGGCCGTCGAACTCGGCACCCAGTGGGGGCAGCTCGCGGAAGGCTCGCGCCGAGCCAGGCGCCACCGGGAAGGGCTCAGGAGGCGGCGGCGGCGGCGGCGGCGCCAAGCCTGGGAGCAGGAGGCCAGGTTCCAGCCTTCGGGCCTTGCGCGCCTGCTTTTTCCGTCGGGGTCGGTACTTGTAGTTGGGATGGTCGCGCAAATGCTGCACGCGCAGCCTTTCGGCTTCCTCCACGAAGGGCCGCTTCTCTGCTGCGTTCAGCTCCTTCCACGCTTTGCCTGCGGGCCGCGCACACAGGTGAGTGGACTGCCGTCGGGTGCACGGCCCATCGGACCCTGCGTGCCACCTGGGCAAGCTGCGAGGGTATGACTCGGACCCCTCTGCCCGGGCCCGAATCTCCAGCGCCCCAGCCCAAGTCCCCCAGCCCTCCTACTCCCTCCCCTCCCCTGCTCCGCAGCTTACCCAGCATCTTGCTGAGCACCGCGTTGTGCAGGTCCGGGTTCTGCTGAGCCAGCCGCTTGCGCTCGTCCTTCGCCCACACCATGAAGGCGTTCATGGGCCGCCGGATGCGCGACTCGTCGGCACTCTGGCGTTCCCCGCGGCCGGCCGGGTCGAGGCCATAGCGCCCCGGCTCGGGGCTGCGTGGCGGACTGCGTGGCGGGCTGGGTGGCGAAGCGGGCGCGGCGGGCACGACGGGCGCGGTGGGGAGACCGCGCGGCTCAGCGGCGGCCCCGGGGCCCGGGGCCCATGCACAGTCGCGGCGGGCGGGCGGGTCGTCTGCGCCGTAGCCGGGCGGCGATCTCTGCATTCCAGCTGGGCGCGGCCTGGGCAGAACGCAGCGCGGAAGCGCAGAGGAAGGATGGTGGGCACTGTGGGGCAGGACGCGGAGGACAGACCTGCAGCGGGCGGGCAACGGTGGGGATGTTGGTGGCCTTGTGCCGGGCGGGCGCCCAGATATAGCGGCGAGGGGCCAATCGGCTGCGGGTCTGGCAGGCTGGGGCGGGGCAGGCCGGGTCCAGGGCCGCCCCCTCCCCCGGGGGCTCCCTTTCTTCTTGGGCTGGGCCGGATCCCGCCAAGGCCTCCCCTGAGCAGAGCCCCCCCCCCCCCCGCACTGTCTCTGAAGGAGAGACCCCCAGTAGGAGAAGGCCGCTGGTTTGGGCTGGGGTTTGGAAGGAGGGAGTCCTCATGAGGTTGTAAGGCTTTCGGAGCCGAGCTGCCGCCGCCCCACCCACGGAGAAAGACCCCCAGGCAGTATCTGGGGGAGTGGGCAGTGCCATGAGGTTGCGTTGGAAAGAGGCAGATTTATTTTAGCACAAAGTTCTTGGGAGGCCGCCTTCCCTAGTCAATCACCGTGGGAAAAGCGCCTGTGTTTTGAGGTGTTCCTTTCCCCACAACCCTCCAGCGCATGCAATTGGAATTCAGCATTGGGGACTTTCAACTCCAAGCCTGTCCCAGGGATTAGAGGAGAAGATGGGCCTATTTTTCCCTCCTTCACTTCCAAACCCTCCACTGTGGAGCAAGGCTAACCCTACAGGGACCCCAAGAAGCAGGGAGTCTGGGTGTGCAGGGACCCTGGCCGCATTCCCACTCTCCAACTCTTGCATGGTGGAGCTGGAACCCATGGCATCTAGCTCCCCTGCTCTGCAGAGGCCAGCAGGACAGACAGAGCAAGGAGGCTGGACCAGGTGGGGCCAGGGAGGCAGGGGAGCACTGGGTCTTCTTTGAGGTCTCCCCCCTGGGGCCCGCAAGCCTATGGGGGCGGTTTCAGAAGAACCTCCAGCTTCACTAATGTTCCCTGTGTCCATTGATGCACATCAGGAAGGGATTGAGCTCCAGAGGCTGCTGGCTCTCATCCAGGGAACTTCTCCCTTCTTCTGAGAAAACTAAGTATGGTTCCTTCCTTCCTTCCTTCCTTCCTTCCTTCCTTCCTTCCTTCCTTCCACCAGGGATTGAACCCAGGGGCATTTAACCACTGAGCCACATCTCCAGACATTTTTAAAATTTTTATTTAGATACAGGGTCTTGCTAAATTGCTGAGGCTGGCCTTGAACTTGTGATCCTCCTGCCTCAGCCTCCTGAGCCTCTGGGATTACAGGATGGCTACCACACCTGGCTCCAAGTATGGTTCTATTGGAGAAGGTGGACTGTTGTGGGCAGCCCAGCTGGGGTCAGGATGTCCATCCTAGCATCCACCTGGATGTTCTACACCTCCCCTTATCATGCCAGAGTACCCCTCCCCCTGAGCACCATGATTTGAGGCCACAGATGTCAGGCACTCCAGGCATGTGTAGGCTCTGGTGGTTTCCTAGACCACATGCAGTATCTCCTGAGGAATGGGGTAGGTCCTGTATGAATCCCTAGTGGCTGTTCCTGAGCTGCCCCCAGGGCACTCCTGTCCCAGGGAGAGGCTGGAACCCCAAGGGTCTTTCAGCCTGAGGACTGTCCCATGTCCATCATCCCTGCCTCACAGATTGTCACGTAGGCCAATAAAAGACTGGGTTTCCCAGGCTGCTTCCTAGATCTCCCCAGTCCATCACTGGCCCTAGTACCTCCTGCATGAGGAGCAGTTGGGGCCCCAGGAGGGGGGCTTCTGGCATTTCTCACGAGATAGGCGGTGGTGGTGGGCATGGAGGTGGACCAATCCACAGGGCTCTACAGTGGTGCCAACTCTCTTGGCCAGGTCTCATTGCGGGTAGGTGGACTGGGCAGCCAGTAGGGGGCATAGTGGAGGATGGAAAGCTTTTCTAGTACTCCAGGTTGGGGAATGGGTCCAAAGAGTCAGGGCCACCCTGGTCTCCCACTGGGAAGTGCTGGACAGAGGCTCTCTCTACCCAGAGCTGGTGCAGCCTGGGGTCACCAGGGAAGGCTGGGGTTGCCAGGGCTTGACTCAGCAGGGGCAGTGAGTGGTCTGCAGTGATGGTCCCTGGGGCTCCTGAAGACGGCCTCCAGGGTCCTTTGTAGTAGGCCCCCCCAACACTGGGTGGATTTAGAGTTCCCTTGGGGCTCTGCCAGACACTCTGCAGCCCCTAAGGACCCAGAGTCATCCAAGTGCTCTGAACATAGTGGCCTGCTGTGTCCGGCATTACCTCATCACCCCCTCCTCCACCCTGCACATGTCCCTCCAGTAGTCACCTCCCCTGGCGCCAGCCAGTGACCTTCTTGGCTGAGCTGTGAGACTCAGGTGTCCGGCTGTCATGTCCTGTGAGCTGGGCTTGGGGAGCCTGGTGGGGTGCTACCTTCCTTCTGCAGGGTCAGGCTGCCCTCTCTGTGCTGCCTGGCAGGGGTGAGGATGGCAGCCCCGCCCACTGTCCAGTTGGGACAATAATGGGGGAGGGCACTGCCGTCAGCTGGGTGGCCCTGACCCTGGAGCCCCAGGGTTGGAGGGACTCCCCAGGGCTGTAGGAGGGCTGGTGTAGGTGTGGCTGGCTGTGCTGGGGGAGTGGCATCTGGTGGAGAGACTGCTGTCTGTGTGTGGTCTGCGTGATGCCTATCCGCCTGGCTGTGGGGTGAGGTGGACCCCAGTGCTGGAGGCTACCCAGGGTCTGGGGAGCCAGACAAGCTGGACTCTCCCATAAGAAGATGAAGACTTGTGGGTTGAAGACCAAGGGTCCTGCTGAGGAAAATATGGCCCTCAATTCCCTGAGCTGCGATCCTAGCTCTGTCCAAATGAAGGCACATTTATCTTTAGAGCCCACCTCAGCCTGGCCTGGCCAGGTTTGCTGCTGCCCACCCTAATGGGAACCCTTTTTCTAGCCCCAGCCCACAGAAATGGGGAACGAGGGGCAACATTTCTCTGCAAGTGTGGAGCCAAGGTAGACACCGAGTGGACCCTGTCCTCCCTGTCCTTTACCTGCGCCTCTCCCTCAGTCTGGGCTGGATCCTGGCTGCTGGGAAGCCTGCAGAGGATGCTGGGTACTCCCTTCAGTGGTTCTGGGTGGGGGATCAGCTCAGCTCTGGGCTGGGGGTAAGGGACCTCCCAGGCGCTGCCTGGGCACAGACCTCCCAGGCTCCCACCAGCCGGGCCCTGGCTGATTCAGGAACAGTGAGGCTGGGACCAATTAGACTTCCACTCCCAAAGGATGGGGTGGGTCCCTGTTGGATGGGGCTCCAGGTGGAGAGTGCCTCTGGTCCTCTGATACCTTGGCTTTGGAGCCAGCTGCCCAGTTTAGACCCTATCCACCTCTGCCTTTCTGGGCTCCAGGTCCAGCCTCCAGAGGATGCAGCAGGGAGAATGTGAGAATGGGGTCATCCTTGACCTCTCTCCTGTGGTCAGGGCCTGATGTCTCAGAACCAGTGGGTGTGTGTGACTCTGCCAGTGACAGGTCTGGGTCAGGTGGACACTCAGCCTTTTCTGAGGACAGTGTGACTTTCTGCTCTGTGCCTTGCTTTCAGTCCTGGAAGGGCAAGTGAGGCAGGCAGAAGCAGCCTGGGCACACCTGGCATGAGGGTGCAAACAGACCCAAGTGGGTACAAATGCTTTAAAAGGCTGGGTTTGGGATCAGGGTTCAGTGCACAATTCACCACATTAAGTGGACTCAGTTGCATAAGTGCTAGATGGTGGTGTGGGCACTGGGATGTGCTTGTGGGGTGTTGGACTGGTGGGGCAGTGAGGGTATGGTTACGTGGGGCCTGCTAGTGCGCGAGACCAGTGGGTGCTGTTGTAGTCTAAGGAGTGACACTCAGACTGTTGTGTGGGGTGCATCTTACCTACCCTGGGTGCTCCAGGGCAAGCCAGACAGGGTGGGGACTTTTCTGTGTTGCGGGGCACAGGCTGTGTTGGAGTGTCCGTGTCTGTCTTTTCATGAGGTGGGGGTGTGAAAGCCAAAGGCAGCCTGGAACATGTCCTATGGAGTGAGTGAGCAGGTCACAAGCAGCAGGGTGCGTCCAGGGTCCCGGTGATGTCTGAAGACTGCTCCAGAGTTTGGGGTGTTGTGCTGTGGAGGGCATGCAGGTGCGGAGGGTGCTATCCCAGCTTGTGCCCACTTCCAGGGGTGTCCCATGCTGCGCACGCCTGGGGGGGTGCTGCTGGGCAACCCTCCAGGGGTGTTCTGCCCTGGGGGCTGCATGGATGTGTGTGTCCTCCTGAGTGTTGCTGCGTGCTGTGTGGGCCTCCCCAGCAAGGCGGCTCCGCAGGGGCTCCGTGGGAACCAGCCTGGACTGGGCTGCTCCGGGTTTCCGTGGCAACTGTAGGGCGGGGCCAGGAAACCCACTCAGGAAGGAAGGCTGGCCGGCCTCAGTGTGGCGGAGCAGGGAGTGGAGGGCCGCCTGGGCTGAGCCGGCGCCAGACCTTCTGCCCAGCGCCCAGGCCCCTGCTGGTGGCTGCTGGCTTCACCCTGGCTTTGCCCCAAGCCTCCTGTGGCCCCCTGTGCGTCTGCGACTGCATTTATTGGGCTCTGTGTCCAGGACCTGTCTGTGGGCATTGCTGGTCCTGTACCCGTATGTGCCCTGGTCTGTTTGGTGTTTTTTGTGGGGGCATAGGTGGGCTGGTTCCCCTGGGTCCCTGGAGGGCAGTGTCCAACCTGACTGCCCTGCCTTCCCCTGCCAGACTGGGAGATGGGAGAAAGGGAGGCCAGGAACAGAGAGGAAGAACACTGCCTTATAGCCACTGGACACCTGGGATCTGTTTGTCTCTCTGTGGCTGGTCCTGGATTGTAAATGGCTTTGGTGGAAAACCAGCAGGGCTGCACGTGGGCCCAGGGGACTGCCCACCCTCTTTGGTCACAGACAGGAATGGCTGTGTCCACTTCTTGGGGACTGAGTACCAGCTGGTACCAGGCCATACTCTAAGAGGTAGGAATTTGGTAGACAACAAAAAGACCCAACTCCCTGCTTGGGAATATTTTATTCTAGTGTGGAGAGACAGAAAATCAACAGAACCCTAAACATCACAATTTAGGGTGTCAGGCCTGAGGAGGGCTGTGTTGGGGTGACAAGTTTGTCTTTTCATGAGGTGACTTTTGAGCCAATGTCTGAAAACCTGAAGGGAATGTGTGAAGGAGACGTAGGAGCCTGCAGAGGCCCTGGGGAAGGGGCTGCAGTGTGCAAAGGCGGGGAGTACAGAGGGCCAGGGCCCAGCGGGGTCTGGGAGGGTCTTGCCAGTTTCTCTGAATGAGCCTTGGGGACTTGAGGGTTTGAGCAGAGGGTGTGATCTGACAGCTTCCCACAGCCTCAGCACAGCTGAAAGGCCAGGGGCTCTGCTCCTGTAGGGGGCCTGGCCATGGCTGCCCTTACCCAGGGCCATGCTCTGGCTGGCCCAGGAGTCTCACTGGTCTCTGCAGGAGGGCAGGGCAGGCTGCCTCAGGACTCCTTGGGTTTGCTGCAGGGACTCAGACCTCCATGCTTCACCCATTGCCCCTGACCCTGTGGCCGTCTAGGGCCCCTGGGGAGGAGGAGGGTGGAGTGGCCGCCGGGCTGGCGGGCTGGCAAGGCAGGAGGGCGGCATTTCTGGGAATTGTGTGGGGGAAGTGCATTGTTAGAGTGAGCCTGCTGCAGGCAGCCAGGGCTGACACTGGCCTCTGGGGGATGCCTCTTGCCTCCCCCAATGCTGTCTCTGGGGGAGGGAGCTGGGCCCTTGGCCAGGTTATGGGCTGGCTGGGGACTTTCCAAGAGATACTGTCCTGAGCTGGTGATTCTTCCCATTCTGCAGACTGGGAGACTGAGGCCAGATGGCTAGGACCTGCATCAGCAAAGCCAGCAGCAGCAGGGGTGGGAGACGAGCTGCATGTCAGTTCTGGTCTCTGTCCTGTTTGACTTCAGAGGCTAGCATCCAAGGGAGGCTTATGTGGGATTGGCTGGGATCACAGCTCCATAGAGCCCTGTGGCAGAGACCTTGAAGCCCCACAGTAGGCTGGAGGGTCTTATGGATTGGAATACAGCCCCTACTCCAGGGTAACAGAGGGGTAGGGCTCCTGAGGCTGCATCATCCCCCCCACTTCCTGGTGATGGGAAATAAAGGGGGGCTCCATGTGAGTTTGGCAGTAGGAGCCTTCCCACCACCGCCCTGCCTCAGTCAAGAGGGGAAGCACTGTGCTGGTCACTGGGGTCATGGCCGGCTTTGGGGGAGGCAGCGGAGGAGGTGGGGGGACACAAATAGAAAAATAAATGGCCTGAGCTTCCGCTGTTTCCTGGCCTGAGGAGGGGGAGGGGTAGGCTGGGGGCCAAATGTGCTGCAGACCTGGTAGGGTAGACCCTGGGGGATATTCCTAGACCTCCTCAGGGCCATGGCCACCCCTTAGAACTCCAAGCTGGGATATCTCCCCCTTAGAGGCCCCAGGATAGTGCTGGTTGCCCACCAAGGGGTCCTGAGGGTAGACCTAGGTGTGTCTCTCTTGAAAAGCACCAAGTATGAAAGATACCTTGCAGGAAGGGGCAGAATCCCTAAGGAAGCTGGGGGCTCAGCCTCAGGGAGTAGGGGGCAGGTGTGGACCTCTGCAGGGGCTCCTGGTGGGGTGAATCTGAGTCTGGGCATCATGGGAAGTGGAGTGGGGGGCCTCCTGTGGTGGCTGGGCTGGGAGGGTAAGCCAGGCTCCTACCAGGAACACTCTACCTGTGTGACACGTTGTTCTTGTCCTGGTTCCTAGGTTCTGGCAACCTGGGTAGTGTGACATCCCTCCCCTCCCCCTGTGCTGAGTTAAGGTGAGGCCTAGGGAACACAGGGCCCTGTTGGGGCAAACATCCCCAGGAGAATCCTCCTGTCCTGATGTCATACCTGGTTGTGGCTTCCTGAGGGCCTGGAGGTTCTAGGGGCCCAGGAAGTTTTGGGGGTAATATGCTCCAGAAAAGAAGTTTCCCAGATTGATGAGGCCCAGCCCAGGGGGGCCTCTGAGCAAGGGCATAGAGGTTAGGACCACAGAAGGGGCCTGGGAACAGGGATTCTAAGACTGGGATTAGGAGTGTTGGAGTTGGTCGGTGCCACAACCTTATAAGCAAGAGCCATTCAGGATGGGCCACATTCTCATCCTGGTTGCTTAGTGGTCCTGTCTGGACAGTGTGACTCCTGCTGGGAGCTTGCTGGACCTCCCTAGGGAAGGATGAAATGTCCAGGCCCGTCTGTGGCTCGCTCCTGCCACCTACAGGCTGTTGCTGCTCATATCATGGGCCACTTCCAGCCTCAGTGGGACCCACCCAGATGGAAGCCTCTAACACCCCATCTGCCTGGTCTACTCCTTCCTTTCCTCACCTGTTCCTGCTGTGGGCCAGGCTATCATGCTTCTCAGCCTGTACCCTGATGCAGCCCACAGGCTGGACCCACTCAGGAGACACCTCCTGCACAGAGACCCAGCCTCCCAGCCTTCTTCCTCAAGGGCTATACCAAGGGAGCCCAGGGGAGACCCCCTAGATATGGCAGACTCCTTTGAGCCATCTCATATGGCCCTACTGCAGCCCAAGGAGGGACGCTATCTGGCCTCTTCTGGAGGAGGGAAGTGAGCCCAAGACTTGCAGCCCAGCACCGCACTCTGCTCAGCAAGCAGCCCTGGTGCTTGGCTGGAAGCTCCTCAGTTCCCTGTCCTTGTGTTGGTGCCATGCAAAACGACAGTATCTGAGTGAAACGCACGGGACTGTAAAGGAAACTGATCGATCGTATCAGCACACAGCTATGAAGCATCTCCCCACAACTGTCACCCTTAAAACTCAAGTGCTGATTTCCTGACTCACTGAAGGGCAAGGTTCACTCCTGGGTGAAGTGACCATTGGGGTTCCCAGCAACAGTACACAGAGCATGTGGGGGTGACGTGATGATGCATCCTGGTAGTCAGAGGTTCCCTCAGCTTGGGTATGGGCTTCCTTCAGGTGGCCTTCAAATCAATTCTGTCCTGAGAAACCTGTGTCTCCAAGGGCTGGCTGGGCAGTGTTCATGGACCTGACACCATGGATGGCGGGGAGCCAACTGTGCAGCCCTCACAGCCTGGAGCTCTGAAGCCATTCTTCTGGGGTTCTCGCACAAGGGTAGCCCCAGAACTGGTTTTATGGGATCCTGACAGCTTGTTGGTATGGTTGGTATCAGCTCTTCAGAAGGTGGTTGAAGAGTATGTGGTTCCAGCCTCTCTTGGAGCTCATGGTGTGGCTGGACACTTAGCCTTCACTCCTGCACACAGGATACTGGCCACAGAGGATTAGCTTGGTTAGGCTGGGCTGAAAAATAGACCTGGCTCACAAAAAGGGGCAAAATCAGTCCATGTGGAAGCTGGGATGGCTGTGTTCACCCATCATGGGGTGCATTTGTAAACACTGTTACCTATAAGGAATCTCATGCTTTTTCCTCGTGATAAAGGTGACTCTCAGGCTGGGATTGAGGCTCAGCGGTAGAGCGCTCACCTAGCATGTGCGGAGGCCCTGGGTTCAATTCTCAGCACCACATAAAAATAAGTAAATTAAATAAAGGTATTGTGTCCAACTACAAGTAAAAAATAAATATTAAAGAAGATGAATCTCATAACTGACCATGACCATGTTTCCATTTGCACAATAACTCCTGGGAGTTCAATCATATCTAATTAATGACACTGACAGCCCAGGGCTGGTCAGCCCAGGGTGTCTGGTCAGCCCAACCTGCCACCTGGCCTCATGGTTCTTTGGCTTTAATTTCAGTAACAGTAGGCCCCATAAGAATATAGTCACCAGTCCCTTGGCCTGCACTCTCCCCCAGATTTGTGCCCCTCCAGTACACCACCCAGCATCTGCATCCTGAGCAGGTGGAAGGCAGTGGTGGAGATGCTGGCCCTGTGCCTCTTCTCTCTCTGACCTGGCATCCTCTGGCTGAGGGCAATCTGTCCCTTCCTGGAAACCTCCGTGGCAATGCCACGAGAGCTAACCGCCCTGTTCTGTTCCCAGTATGAGTCAGTGCACATCATCCTGACAGTAGTGCTGTGAGGGGACTCTATAGTCCCAAGTCACAGGTGGGGGGACTGAGGAAAAAGCAGTCAGTGTGCAGAGCTTGGGATCTGTGCCCTGGAAGGCTGACTTCGGAGGCTGGACTTGTCCTCACAGCCTCTCCAGGATTCCAGGGCGTCTTCCTCAAGGGGCCGGCATCCTTCCAGGCCCCACTTCTGGCTACTGCCCCTCACACCGCCCAATGCCCGCAGGCTTCTTGGTGGAGGAACCTCTACCAGAGGCATGAACAATTCAAACTATGCCCTAGGACGACGAGTGCAGGGGTCAGCGGAGCCACAGGACAGGGAAAAGGGAACCAGGAGAACATCTGGAAAGTGGGCGCGACAGGGAACAAACGTAAAGAAGTCATCGTGGCCGGCCCAGCGCCTCCTCCTTCCCTAGCCCCTCCCCGTCCCGCCCGTCGCCCCTCCTCCTCCCCTAGTTCCTCCCTGCCCCGCCCACGCCTCCTGCTCCCCTAGTCCCGTCCCACCCCGCCCGCGCCTCCTACTCCCCTAGCCCTTCCCCTCCTTGCCCGTCGCTCCTCCTCCTTCCCTAGTCCCTCCCCGCCCCGCCCACGCCTCCTCCTCCTAGCTCCTCCCGCCCCGCCCGTCGCTCCTCCTTCTCACCTTAGTCCCTCGCCGCCCGTTGCCCTGCTCCCTGTTCGCCGCTCCTCTTTTCATCCTAGCCCCGCCCCCACTCCGCTCCGCCCTGAGTGCCCCGCCCCTCCCTCCTCCCACTCCTTCCCCGCCCCGCCCTCTCGTCCTCTGCGCAGGGTATTGTGGGCTGGGTCATCCGCTGGAGGCCTTGTCAGGACTACTTTTCCCAGGAAGCTGTGTGCGCCGCTGGAGCTTCTGGGAGTTGTAGTCCGTGGGGCGGGGACTCCGCATCTCATCATGCAGTGCGCAGCCGCCGATCGGGGGGTTTGGGCCGAGGGTCGCGGCGGCTGCGGCCCTGGTCCGGCCGGGCTGGGTTGCTGAGCTGAGCAGGGTGCTGGCCCCAAGGCGATGATGGGCAAGGAGGAGGAAATTGCGCGGATCGCCCGGAGGTTGGACAAGATGGTGACCAGAAAGAGCGCGGTGAGGGGCGCGGGCCGCCAGGACCCCGGGTCCCGAATCCCGCCGAGACCCCATCGTGCCCACCGCAGGCGGGACGAGATGTCGCCCTGGCCCAGACCCCCGCCCCGGGCCCGCCCTCCACCTCGTCCCCGGACCACCGCTCTGGATTAGACGCCGCCCCGCCCTGCCGGCCCTCCGTAGGCGGCGGGAGGCGTTCCTGCCCTGGCCCGGCTTCTCCTTGTCTGTCACAACCCTTAAGAACGAGGTTCCTCTAATAAATTCTCTCCCTCCCTTAGTCGGGCCTCAGCCAGCAGCCAGCCGGTGTGGGCAGGTGGTGGAGAGCGGAGTAGGGCCGGCTCTGCCCCTGCAGCCAGACCGCTTGACTGCGGATGCTGAGCCTCAGAGGAGGCGTGCGAGGCCTCCAGGGTCCAGCCCAGCTTCATACGTTGGCAACCCGTGCAGCCTCCAGGGAGCATCCTTTGCGCATCCTGCATCCTGCCTGGCTCGGGTGGGGAGGGGTCTGGAAGGAGCCCGCCAGCGCACTGAATGGGACCGCGCCCCCACGGGACAACTCCGGGTGGTGAAGGCGGCTGAGTCACGGGCTTTTCAGGCCTGTGTAGCCTGCCCAGGGCTGTGACTTCAGTGTGGGTCCGGGTAGCTATTTGGAACAAGCAGGGTTGGGCCTGGGCTCCCGTTGGCCATGGTCGGGCCTAGGGTGTACACCAGGAAGGGGGCAGGCTCCCACACATTTGTTTAAGCTGGAAACAACCCTCCAAGACTGTGCTTACTTATCTCTGGGTTATGGTGGGCAGCAGAGAGGGAGTGAATAATGACCTGCTGACCGTAGAAAGGTGTTTTGTTCCTTGAAGGAACCCTAAGTGGGAGGGGGCTGAGATGGGGGAATGTGAGGGGAGGTAGATGGGCTTGATGGGGGAGAGAGGACCACTGGCAGGAGGACCTGGTGGCCTCCTGGCACTTTGTTGGACAAGGGCTGGTGGTGATGAACTGAACCTTGATGGTGACCTGCCCCTGACCAGTCTGTCCCTCTGTTTTCTGACAATGGCAGATGCTTCTGATGGCAACACATGAGCTGGCAGGAGGGGTGACAAGGCATGGATGGCTGGTGGAAGCACAGCATGAGAGGATGCAGAGGAGGGGGCCTCCCGGGTTCTTGCAGCACTTGAGAGGACCCTTGGGGACTTGTGGCTTTAGTGTGGTTTTTATGACTCTCTGGAGCTGTGTCACCTGGTGCACATGGCTGCAGGGAAGGACTGCCTTTGCCTCTGGGGGATCACCTGTCCTCCCAGAGGTCACCTCAGGGCTGGTCTTTGCAGGGCCAGAGGGGTAGGATCTACCTTGGTGGGGTAAACAGGGGGTGCCTTAGCATAGAAGTCACACATACTAGGGCAGGCCAGCTTCTCTACCTGAGTGGCTGGGTGGGTTGTCTTGGCCCCCTTGTAGTGTGGGGAGACACAATGTGAGCATACAGCAGGATAAAGTGATGTGGTTTGTGGAGGACAGCAAGGCAGGGGCAGGGTAGGGTATTACATGAGGTGAGTCCTAAGTAGGAGAAGGTGTTTGAACAAAGCTGGGGGGCATGAAATCTGTCAATGTGCTGGGGAGGGTATTGGGCAGAGCATCTTCAGGAGCAAGGGTCCTGGGGTGGCACCCTTAGGGAATATGGAGGAGCTCGTCTGCTGTGGAAGTATGATGAGGATTTTAAGGAAATAAAGATCTTGGGCAGGGATGGAGCAGAGGAGGGAGACCAGGGGATTTGTTGCAAGGTCCAGAGGAGGGATGGGGGCTGTCCTGGGGCGATACATGAGGAGTGGGACTATGAGCCTTGTGGGTGCTAGTTGTGGTGTAACCAGAGTGAGGGTTCCCTAAGGGTTTGGCCTGCTGAGCACTATAAGGAGTGGCTATCCTACCCACCAGGGCCTGGATGGGACAGGGGGCCAAGGAACTTGGGGTATACCTTCATCTGGGTGTGTTCCTTACTACTGGGAAGGAGCTGTGGCCTTTCTACTCTTCTTGTTTGGTCAATGACCTGATGTTGAGTGAGGTCAGGGAGGTCATTGCCAGGGATATGGTTGGGAAGTCATGTTACCTGTGAGGAGTGAGACTACAAAGCCCTTCCTTCTCCTACCCTGAGATAGGGGCAATAAAGCCCCCCTGACATGGGGCAGAAACTCTCTTGGTGCAGAGCTCTGAGCATCTCCTGGTGGAATAATTATGGTTTCTTTCTGATCTCCAAATTGTTACTGCCTTGTGTCTTCCCTCATGGGCAGGAGGTAAGATTGTCTGCTGAGGTCTAAAGTTCCTTTATGAAGGTCCTTTCTCCTTCCAGGAGGGAGCCATGGACCTGCTGCGGGAGCTGAAGGCCATGCCTATCACTCTACACCTGCTCCAGGTAGGCCCTGCCTGCTGCAGCCCAGCACAGTTCCAGGAATAGTCATGCCGCTGGCATGTGGCAGGGCTTCCTATGCCTACCCCCACCCTAGGGTTTGGTTGGCACAAACACCAGTTTTGAGGAGAGGGTTCCTGCCTTTCTCTAATGCTTGATGAGGCAGGGAGGGTACATCTGAGAATAACTCACTCTGTCCTGAGTTCCAAATGGGACAAGAGCCACTAAGAGAGGTGTCTACTTCCTCATGACTTATCCCCAGACCCTGCCTTATGGAAGCCACCAAGGGTCTGCTAAGAGGGTTTGACTCCTGGGATGGGTCTCCACTATCTCCCAACCTAGGCCACTTGCCTTGCAGTCCACCCGTGTTGGGATGTCTGTCAACGCCCTGCGGAAACAGAGCTCGGACGAGGAGGTCATTGCGCTGGCCAAGTCCCTCATCAAGTCCTGGAAGAAGCTCCTGGGTGTGGGTCAGGCCACATGCTGGTTCAGGGGACACTTGGCCTCTTGCTGGCTGTGCTACCCTGAGCTGGCCTCCTGGAAGTGGGCTACAGGAAGTCTGGAGCCAAGCTCAGGGTGGAAGTGGACCAATGGGTGCCCATCAGTGATGGGTGGGATAGTCTGTAGGGCATGACTATTGGAACAAAGGTGTGTGTTGGGGAGTGATTTCCATATAGAACAGGTAGAGAGCAGAGTCAAGTGCAGAACCTGGACTGAACATTGAGGACATCCAGGAGCCCTAGAAAGAGGGAGTTGGGCTGTTTTAGATCACACAGAGGAGAAGGGTAAGGCCAGGATGCTCCAGGTTCCCAGTGATGGAGGAGGAGGAGATGGAGCTACCACTAGAGAAAGTTGGGTTGAGGGAAGATGGTCTCCTCCTGGGGACAGGATGCCTGGGCGGCACAGATCCCCCATGGGGTAGGGAGGTAGCCTTGTTTCTGGACCTGGGAAGGACCAAGCCTCTCCTGAGTTCTGTCCACACCCTTGAGAGACGATCATCATCTCTTGAGACTTTCCAGTTGTGTGGCCTTTGGGAGTACCACATTCATGTCCTAGTCCCCAAGGCAGGCCCTGGATGGGCAGGAGGGGGCCCTGGAGGGGCCTCACAGTGAGCTGCTTGAGTGGGGGAATGTGAGGGGAGGTAGATGGGCTTGATGGGGGAGAGAGGACCACTGGCAGGAGGACCTGGTGGCCTCCTGGCACTTTGTTGGACAAGGGCTGGTGGTGATGGACTGAACCTTGATGCTGGCCTGCCCCTGACCAGTCTGTCCCTCTCTTTTCTGACAATGGCAGATGCTTCTGATGCCAAAACCAGGAACCGGGGGAAGGGCACACCTCTGCCCACATCATCCTCAAAGGATGGCTCAGAGGCCATGGATCCCAGGTAGCATACCTGAATTCAGGTGTACACCTTCCTGCCTCAGCAGAAAAAGGGTGCTGATGCTCATGTGCTTAGGCACTGCACTGAAGAAGGGGCTTTCTCTAAGGATGTTTGTCAGCCTCATGCTGGGCACTGTGTCTCACAGCTGAGACTCCCTGCCCCAGCCATCTGAGGTGGGTGGCCATGTCTTCCCAGATGTCAATGAGACCCCTGACATACATCTTCCTCAGCAGAGAGCTGCTGCACATCTGATCCTCTGTAGGAACCCTCTGCCTGCTTCCTCAAGACCCTGTCCTGGTCTAGTTCTCACTGGCCTGCTCTGGATGTCCCCTTCAGCCTGAGGCTGGAACCCCTTCTACAAGATCCTGCTCAGAATCAGAAGCAGGGTGTCTGATTCCCCTCTCCTGTCCTGAAAGTATATGTGGCCATCACTGTCCCCAGGAGGGAAGTCAGGCCCCTGTTGCTATGGAGACTGGGAATTCTGCTGGTGACAGGCTGTGGTTGAGGGTCGCTTTGCCCTTGACCAGTCTGGGCAGTAAGTGAATGGAGGCTGGGCCCTGGTCAGGACAGGCTGAACTTTGGGCAGCTCCTGCGTCATCTTTCCTCCAGGCAGCTATAGGTCACTCCCTGTCCTTGGTTTGCCATCAACAGAGGGAGGTATTTGTAAAGTGGCCCATGGTTGGGTCCTCTGCAAGGGGAACATTTTAGAGGTGTCAGGAAATCCCCAGCTCATTTTGAGCAGCTGGGGATGCTGCACAGATCATTCTGGGAGAAGAATCCAGCATTCTGTCCCCATTTGGGGAGTGAGCCCTGATCACTAGGGACTTTACAGTCTACTTTTTCCTCTGGGGAGCTGGGCAGGCTGCATGGGCATTGACTGAAGATAGGCCATTGCCAGGGCCTGTCAGGGTACAGCAGACTGGCTTTGAAGGTGGGGACAGTGCCATGACATTTACTTTTCTGGGGACCAGCATCCTACTAGGGTGCCTGTGGCCTTAAGTCTAACCCTGTCTCTCCAGCCGCAAGAGGCCGGAGCTGCCCAGGATGCTGTCCACCCCAAGGATTACCACGTTTCCCCCAGTGCCTGTTACCTGTGATGCTGTGCGCAACAAGTGCCGGGAGATGCTGACCACTGCCCTGCAAACAGACCGTGAGTGCCTGGCAGGCCCTGGCTGGATATGCACCCAGACTCACAGGGTGGCCTGCCCCTGCCTGCTGTAGAGGCCTGCTTCAGGGATGTGGCTCTCTTCCCCCAATCTGTTGTGACCCTGGAGGAGGCAGGAGGTGTTTGGGGTTACCAGAGAACCTGGATCCTGGGCAGTGACCCCAGGGATGTGAGTGTATCTCCTCGCTGCCAGGGTTTGGTGCAGGCAGAAAAGCAAGTGGGTGGCAAGTGAGGGCTCCCTCTTGCAGATGACCATGCGGCTGTTGGTGCAGACTGTGAGCGACTGTCGGCCCAGATTGAGGAATATATCCTTTGTGCAGGGATTTTGGGGCCCAGGGCTTCTGGTGGTCTATAGGCTACTGGCCCCAGGTCCTCTTGGTGGCTGGGGGATACCATTGCTGGGCTGCCCTGTGCCTCTCTGGATCATGGGGTGGCTAGCCCTGGGAGGGCCCTCCCTGGAGGAGCCAAGAGGCTGGCATGGCCTGCTGGTGGGGCCTAGATCTCAGTTAGGAATGTGTCTGGGGGAGGTGCAGCACTGTGGCCCCTCAGCTCTTCACCAGGCCTGGGTGGGTGGAGTGCTCCTGTGTAGCTGGGCAGAACATCCCCACATGGCCCCCAGCAGGGCAGGTGGAGCACAGTGGCCTCATGGGTCCTTAAATGCCTGCACGCATCTTCCGGGATGTGGGAAACACAGACATGAAGTACAAGAACCGTGTGCGCAGTCGCATTGCCAACCTGAAGGATGCCAAGAACCCTGACCTCCGGCGGAATGTGCTGTGTGGTGCCATAACCCCCCAGCAGATTGCGGTGATGACCTCGGAGGTGAGCCCCACTGCAGGGGCTGGGGGCTGCTTCTGTGGGGCTGCAGGCTGAGTGCTTGGCCCCTCACCCCAGGAGATGGCCAGTGATGAGCTGAAGGAGATCCGCAAGGCCATGACCAAGGAGGCCATCCGCGAGCACCAGATGGCACGCACAGGTGGCACTCAGACAGACCTGTTCACCTGTGGCAAGTGCAGGAAGAAGAACTGTACCTACACGCAGGCGAGTGGCTGCCACTTCCTGAGCCCATGTCTTTGGGCATTCATACTCTCCTTGGAGCCCACACCTGTCACCTCCTGGCTGGGTGGGGGCTGCTCTCATGCCTGGACTTTGGCCAGGGCAGAGGCCCAAGTGTGGATTTCTCCTGCATTTTCAGGGCCCTCATTTCCCCAGGACTCCCAGCCTAGTAAGTAGTGTCCCACTTGATCTGGGGTACAGAAGCTGGAGGGCTGTCCTGCCTAGTACAGGAGACATGAGGATGTCAGTGCAGGCAGGATCCTGACCCTGCTGTGGAAATGGATGCCCAAGTGTCTGGGGAGACAAGTGACGGTGGGAGCTTGGGAAGAAGGTGGAGGTTATAAGTCTTTGTCTGGTGAGGCTGCGGAGGCCAGTGAGAACTGCTGTTTCCCTGTGGAAACAAGGCCCCAGCCCTGCAAGGGGCCTTGGTCTGTGCAGGGCTGTCTTGGTTTCCCATGGTCCTGTGGGATGAGGCTTGCCCTTGTGCCTCCTGGAAGGTGGCTATGGTCACTGGCATCCCTGCTCGTCACCCCAATATGGGGTCCCTCCTATTCTCAGCTGACAGTCTTAGCTTTGCTAGGCCCTTCGGACCCATACAAGGACTTCCCCATTGGTGGCTCATGTACCAACAGGCTCAGCTCTGGAAGACTGGGCATTCTCAGATCAGGTCACCCAGGCTGCCCCAGGGGCTGAGGCCAGCACTGCTTAGGTCAAGGGACACCCTTGGCAGAGATTGGTGGTGACCCTGGGCTCCACCTGCCCTACAGGTACAGACCCGCAGCTCTGATGAGCCCATGACCACCTTTGTTGTTTGCAATGAATGTGGAAACCGCTGGAAGGTAGGTGGGTGGGCTCAGGACAACCCCCAACCCTATTCTCTGTAAGTGGGTACCTTGGCTTATGTAGGGTCTGTGGCGTGAACCAGGGATGGCCATGCCCAGCCTGCCTCCTAGTCATTTCAGGGATGGTGGGGGCGGGTGGAGACCCCAGCCCTGGCGGTCCTGAAACCATGGCTTGGTCGCCTCACTGCTTCCCTGCAGTTCTGCTGAGCACTTGTGCAGTTGCGCTATAGCCCCAGGTCCTGGCCAATGCTGCCCCTCCTGCATTCTTGGTGGACACAGCTTCTCTGGAGACCCCCAGTAGACGGCATGCCCTGCCCCAGCTGCCTGGTGTGCACCTGTCTGCCCTTTGCCCTGTTATTAAATGTCTTGTTTGCCATCCTTGGGCCTTGCTCCTGGTGGGCTATACACAGGCTTCAACTGAGCCTATCTGTTTCTTCTCTGCTGCTGTGGACAGGCAACTCTTGGGCTTAGCCCTAGCAGGGCAGCTCCTGAGGCAAGAGCTTAGGCGACTTTTGGAGAGATCACCTGTGACACGAGGCCAGGATGATGGGGTGGCGCTGCCTCTCCTGAGTGTGCCATGGGGCAGGCCCTACCGACTTGGCTGTGAGGGCAGGTGGGGAAGGGGCTTTGTATACACACAGACAACCTGGGGTCCATGTGAGGGGTCAGACTGACCTGCTCAGCACCCACCCACGGGACGGGCAGCCAGGGCTCAGCCCCCTCTTTAGGACAGCCTGCCTCATCCTGCCTCCACTGGGGGAGACAGAATGCAGTTTGCCCCAAGGGAATGGGGTCCCAGCCCTTGGCCAATTCCTGCTTGAAGTCACTGAAGCTCCCAGAAATTCAGAGGAATGAGATGATGCCTTATGGGGCCTATGATGAAGACAACATTGTGACAGCACCAAGGGACTCTTGGGAAGGTTGCCTCCTTAGTGGCCACCCCTCTGGGAGGTATGATACCTACCAGGGACTCCTGCAGTCTGTGTCAGCTCAAGCCTGATCCTGCTTCAGGACTCAGGAGGCAGACACCAGGTCTGGAGCCCACCTGGGTGAGGCTGAGTTCAGCTTCCAGAGGCCCCTGCTGTGGGGAGGGTCTGGGAGCAGTCAAGGATGATCCCTCATTTTCCTGTCTCCCCCCACAAAGTGGGCATAAATATAGGCTTCTGTTTCAACTACACCTTCAAGAATAAGATCTCATTTTGGGGGTGTAGGAATGGAGATAAATATGAAAACTTTTTTTTTTTCTTTCTTGGTAAAACATACAGTAAGGAGATGTTTCCAGGATTAGAGTTCATGAATATGTAAAATATATTCAGGTCCTGTCACTTGAATCTGGTTCTGGGTCTGGTTCTGCAGTGCAGACAGCTCAAGTAGGAGGGTCTCCTGCTACCAACAAGAGACATGTCCTGGGCAGCAGCAGGCTGGTGAGGGGTGGAGTCACGGGTGTGGCACTTCCCCCTGGGCCTGGGCTGCTTCCAGGGCTGGAGATCCTGGGCCAGCCATGTGGGGGCCACTAGTGTGAGCCCTGAGTCTGCCCACCAGAGGGTGGAGTTCCTGAGCCCTTTGGAGCCTAGGCCTCTGAAGAGGACTGTGGGGACCCCCGGAGCAGCAGGGTGCGGTAGGCTGGGGAGCTGAGGAAGCGTGGGTACGAGTCCCGGTGCATGAGCGTGTAGATCTGCAGCTGCGCGTCGTCAAATGTGTGCGCTGACGGCTCCTGCATCTTCCTGTTGATGCCCTCCCGCACTCGGGAGTCCAGGCTCACCTGTGGGACGGGGCACCGAGGTCAGAGGCACCCTCCCCAGGCCACCCCAACCCGTGCCAGCAGCTGGCGCACCTCCTTGGGGGACAGGATGGACACGTAGTCCTCATAGATGAGCCGCGCCTTCTCATCCACCACGTGCTGGTTAGCCTCTGCCTTCAGCTCCTCGCAGGCCAGCCAGAAGAGCATGTTCTCCTCGCTGTACTCTGTCCGCAGGAAGGCGCGGAACACACTGCGGCCCGCGGGGCTGTGCATCAGCTTGTCGAAGGACTGCGCCCAGCTCTGTACCTCCTCAGGGCTTGGGGGGGTGCTGAAGGCAGGGACGGAGCACATTAGGCCTGTCCCCTCCTGCCCCTTGACACAGATGCCCCTGGCGGCAGAACTCACCAGGCATCACAGCTGGGGAGGGGCTGCAGCTTGCTCTCCTGTGAGGCCTGCCATGCTTGCCGCCGCTCTTGGTTCCTGGCAGCAGAGAGGAAGGTGGCTCTGCCCTGGGCACCTGGGATTTCCACAGGTGCTGCCATAGCCTCATGTGGCCTTGGCATGTGAGCAAGCATGATCGGTGCCTGGCACATGTGTAGGGAGCATGGTCCTGAGCATTGGATCTTTCCACACGTTCTGGGGCCCTTACTGAATCCACTTATACAGGCTGATGTCCTGGCCATAGTACCCAGTACTTCTTCCTGGTACCTACAGTACTTCTTCCTGGTCAGTAGTTTGACCATCTGTGCTTCTGTGGCTCCTCAGCTTCTCCCCTTCCCTGGCTTAATGGGCAGGATCTAGGGCTTCTCAGCCTGACCTGTTTGTCTCTTTCTGAAGAGGCTACTCACAGGCCCACACTGCAGGCCTGATATCAATAATTGGAACTGCTGGTTGATGCAGGGTCAGAACCTTCAGTCTGTGTGTTTACATCTGTCTGGTCCTGGATCCTGACCCTGGCTCCAAGGGAAACTTGTTCTGTCAGTGCTGGCCCCAAGTCTATGCCCAGCCAACTGCTGTGTTGGGGGACAGACATCTAAAGCCCAAAGGTCTAGATACACTGCGTTCCTGCCACATCCTGTTTCTCAGTAGACACAGTCCCCACCCTGTCCTGTCCCTTGAATTCATGGCTGAGCCCCTTGCCTGGGCTCAGGCCTCGTTATCACTGTTTAGTAGACTCCATTGGGTCCCCGACCCTGAGGAGGGCCAGGCTTCTGCAAGGCCCATGACCCTCCGCTTCCCTACATACCTAAGGGAATCCTGTCACCACCTGGAGGCTTCACTGCTTCCCTCGTGCAGATACCTTGTGTGCTAGGACCGCTGTTCCCTCAGCTGGGTCTCTGCTCAAATGTGCCCTATTGCAGGGTCTGGGCCTCTTGTGTTCCTCTGGGCTCCTAGGGTGTTGCCTGGGCTGGCTCACAGAGGCACTGATGGGCGTGTGCAGAACGCTCCCGTGTGCATGCAGCAGGCCTGGTCCTTGCACATGGGGAGCCCTCAGTACACCAGGCACAGGAGTCACATAAAGTCCTCCAGGGGGCGTGGGTGCCGGCCACCAGGGCCCAGCAGTCCTGGGACAGGACAATGCTTTGAGGTGGAAAGGGCCAACTGCCCACAGGTGATGCCATGGAGCCACCCGTGAGTCCCTAGAGTCCCTGGGTTTGGCCCCTCTCAGTGAACTATGCCCCCCAGGCCCACATACCAGGAGCAGCTGCAGCAGCAACACCAGCACAAACAGCAGGGGTTGCGGCTGGGGGCCGCCGGGGGGACCACATCATGGCTGGACATTGGGGGGGGCCTGTCCGCCTCCTCTGGCCCTGTGTGCTGGGAAAGATGGGGCTGCCTCAGCCTCTAGGACAGAGCCCACTGGACCCGGCATCTGGCTATGCTCCCAAGGGCATGACCCTCAGCCCCCAGATACCCTAGAGATTCTCCCAGCTCCTCTCCCTGCTTGCCCCCGACCCTCCCTGGGGCAGAGGTGAGGAGGAAGTGGCTTACCTGCGTCTCAGCCTCATGCGGGGTGGGCATGGGTAGGTGGAGGGGACTGCCCAGGCTCTGTGGTGCCAACTCCAGGACCTTCACCACAGCCTGGGGGGGAAAGGGGTCAAGCTCACTAAGCACCTATGACTCTGGCCCCTGCCTATTCTCTAGGTCCTAGAAGAGATGTCCCTTCCAGAGTTTTTGCGTCCAGCCTTAGTTTATACTAGGGCCAGGGGGCAGACCCAGGTCAGTGAGGAAGGGGCTGCAGCAACCTTCGGCTTCTCACTCTAGACTGGGCCCCAAATGAGGCACCCACAGGAGGTTCCAGGACACCCCCATCTGCTCAGTCCCTGGGAAGCCGGAAGCCTGGGTTCCTCTTTCTTGGTTTCCGGCTCCTAGCCCCTCCCAAGGAGGCTGGGGCTTGAGGCTGGTGTATGGTATGTGGGGGTGCCAGACACTTGGACCTACTTCTTACCCCTAGGGTCTTTCTGCTAGACTATGGGGTTAGAGTGTGGGCAGAGGTGCTCCCCACCAAAAGGGACCCAGAGAACTCTGACTACTCACCTGGGACTTGGCCAGAGGGGCAGCTAGGCCTGCAGCATTGAGGACGTGAGTGGGACTTGAGGAAGGACTTCCTGAGGGTGTGGGGAGTGGAGCATGCACTGGTGAGGAGGAACGTATATGGGGAAACAAGGTTCCTTGGTCCTCAATGCCTCTTACACCTTCCCTCCAACACTGTGGGCTCCCCTTCCCTCCCTGCCCAACACCTCCAGAAACTGCAGGGTGTTCGAGTCAGGGAAGGAGGCGGGGGTAGCTCCCCAGCTGGAGCCTCAGTGTCCCTGGACCACCAGTGGGATGTACAGGGAGCTCATCCCCCTCACTAAAGCCAAATGCAATCCCAGTGTCTCCAGGGACAGTGGAGCAAGGTGGCCAGGAGGAAGTTTTGAAAGCCTTACCCCCATTTGCCTGTGCCCACCTGTGTTCAGGTCAGGGCCTGCAAGGCCTCCAGCTCTTCATATCCACCACCCTCCCTTTTAGTGGCCATGAGGCTCAGAATCCATCCCACTTAATTTTCTCATTACTTTCTATCCACCTGCTGCTCCTCCCCCAGGCTGTGGCCTTTTAATCCTGTTTCTGCCTGTTTTGGCCTCTTTGTGCCTTCCAGGGCCCTGTATGTGCTGACAAGAGGGGACAATACCTGAGAGCTACACACTTAGGGGGCCTTGGCCCCTCACTATCCGCCTGGCTTCCTCTGAGATCCTAGTCCCATGGGCTCCCATGGGCTCCCTCGAGCTGATAGGGACACAGAATAGTTGCAGCAGGGCTCCTCCAGGGGCCAAATTTCTAGGGAAAGGAAGGGGCACAGCCACTGGAAGTCTGGTGGCACCCAGAGCTCTCTCTTCCTCCTCCAGATTCTCCCTGCAGATGTCCTCAGAGGCTCCACTTAGAGTGGGGCAGAAGGGGGTGTCTGTGGTGTTCAGCCTGGGTGCTGGGGACCTGGTTTGGTGCAGAGGTGGGAGCAAGCCCTTTCCTCCCAGGCAGACACTGGACCTGGCTCCCTCGGCAACCCAGCTGGAACCACACATATCCCCAGAATGCCCACAGGGCCCTGGACCACTGCCTTTCCTTCTTGTGGGGCACACGGTCTGAATCAGGGTCTTCTGGCCTCTCATCCTGGCATTGGGGGCCTCCTCCCTCTTCCCCAGCCCCCCAGGCTTTGATCCCCAAGCCTGGGCTGGGAGAGGCCAGGCAGGCACAAGTCTGGTCTCTGGGGACAGAGGATCCCTAGGGAGTGGCTGCTGTTCTGCTCCACAGAAGGAAGAAGAACGTCTGCAGCCAGCCCAGGCCAAAAAAAGAATTAAAAAGTAACAATCTCAGAAAACAATGTCGTAACCTTTGGGAGGGGGCTAACAGAGCCCCATACTTTGCCTAGTACCTTTCCTATCTGCTGCTAGCCCAACTGGCCTCCAACAAGGCAGGCCGGGCCTCGCAGCCCCTAGTGACCCTCACTCCCCACCCACCTCCCTTGCCTAGCTTCTGCCGGTGGGGTCGTCTGGAGGAACCTATCTCCTCCTCAGGGCCCCTTCATCCAGCCTCTGACGCCCCCACCCTCCCTTAAATTAAAGAAGTCTCCATGGCGCCCCACTCACCGGCGACCCAAAGGCGGGTGGGGGCCGGAGGGCCGGATTCGGTCTGGCCCCACCCTGGCTGTCGAAGGGGCGTGCTCTGCTGTAGTGGGGACTCAAGTCAGACGGCAGGAGGTACTCCTGCGGCGTTCCAGGAGGGAGGCTGGCGCGGAGCCCCGCTTGGCTAGGGCCGGGGGGGCGCAGCGCCTCCCCTGCGGCTTGCCCAGCGGAGGGCTGCTGGACCCAACGGGTGGGGCAGACGAGGACTGGGTGTCGTGTCGTGTCCCGCCCTGCCCCTCCCCACCAGGCTCGGGGGGGCGGGAGACGCGGAAACCTGGGTTCTTCCGGCCCCCACCTTTGAGCAATCACTTCCCCCGGCTCTGAACTGCAGAAAAAGGGGAACTCTCCTGCGATGCCCCCTCCCCCACGCGCGGGGGCTGGGCTCGGGTCTCACTGCAGCCCAGGTCCACGTGCGCGAGAAAGGGCAGTGCCCGGCGCCCGCTCTGAGGCTCCTGCCCGCTCCCCCACAGCCTGCCCGCCGTCCTGCGCTGCGCGCGCACCCACCGCCGCGCTCCCGCGCTTCCCCGCCTCTGCCGCCGGTGCGCTCAGAAGTCCGGCGGGCCGCGGGGAGGGGGCGCAGGAGCAGTGCGCAGGCGCCTGGCGGCACTTCCCCAAAGCCAGGGGCCGGGACTTCCTTGAGCGGGTAGGCGCCGGCCCGCCCAGCTCGCTGCGCCCCGCCCAGGGCCCCGTGCCCCATCCGCCCGCACCGTGGAGCTGAGTGGCCCGGGCCTTGAGGCGCGTGGAACGCGGCCGCAGCCGGCACCCCACTTTGCTTAGCGTGGCCCTTCTGGCCTTTTCATTCATGCGGGCATCCAGCGCAGGGCAGGAGAGCCTGGGCCCTATGTGTGCCTTGGTCGCTGGGAGTACTCCTGTCCTGCTTGGCCAACCCCTCGCCTGAATCTCTTGTAAAATGGGGTCAAGAGCCTGTCACCTTTGGTGGAACTTCTCAAGAAAGGAGATTCCTGTACTGCAGGATGGGTGCCGGGGTGCAAGTTCTTGCATCCAGTGTGAATACAATGTTTGATAGGGTCTGGCTGAGTCCCTCCCTGTTTCTCCTTCAAGCTGCCCCAAGATATACTAAAGTTTAAAGCCCCACTGTCCCCTTTGCCACCAATGCCTGTCCCTTTGGCCAACTCTTCTGGCCCTTTTATAAGTGAGTACAGATGTGGGTTATTTGTTATCCCAGCATGCTTTGGCCCTGAGTCAGATTAGCCCTTACCCTGCTCTGGAAATGGTCTGCGGAATGTCTTTGGTCTCCCTGGGCTGCCAGGCTCCTGCCCTGCCCAGTGTAGGTAGGCAACCTGGCCAGCTCCAGGTGTTGGGGTCCTCTGCACAAATGCCTTCTAATTGCACAAGTAGTTGTGTAGAACTCTGAGAAGCAAACTGGAGACTTCACAAAAGCTCTTCATTCCATTGGAAGTATCTGGGGTCCTCTGAATGCCAGGCAGTGAGCCAGATACACCAGCTTGGACCTAATGGCTGGTATCGGAGATAGGGGGTGGGAAGCAGACAAGAAATGGGTGGGTGAGAGGTGGGAGGGCTGAGGGCAGGGCACTGCATAGTGCTCACGCCTGGCTGAGCTGAGAACAGCTGGGTGGCCATGCTGCCTGCAGTGCTGTGTGCCCAGGGCCTGGTGATTTAACAGAACTATGCTCTGGCTGTCCTGTTAATGGGCTAGTAAAAACAGGACAGAGGCAAGGAAGCCGATTTGGATGGAAGCAGCTGTTGCTTTAGCCTAGACACCAGTTTTGAGGGGAAGGTACAGGTGAGGACCAGCAGGCCCCAAAGAGATGTCCAGCACCTGGTGAAGGCCACCTAACTGGCTGATCCCGAAGTGGTTGTCATTGCCTTTCCACTGTAGGGAAATGCAGGTGTGGGGAGCTGACAGTGTGGGTGGGGGTCCAAATACTTTCCACCCTCTCATGTTACTTTGTATCCCCTCTTCCTCCATGTCCTCTGACCCCTCAGGCCTGCTCTCCACTCCCTTGGCCTGCACAGAGCATCCCCTTAAGTGAGGGAGGAGCCCAACAGTGAGGGAGGGCATGTGGTGATGGGGGTGGGACTTAAAGCCAGGACCCTCTGCTCCAGACCCCCTCACAGACCACAGTACATTGGGCCTTAGCCTGCAGGCTTTGCTCCCCTGTACAGCTTCTGCTGGTAGAAGTGTCTTCTTCCCTAGTTGCCTCTGCAGACCCAGCTCTTCTCAGGCATGAGGATCAAGGGGGCCTGGCACAGAGCTGTCTCTGGCCCCTTTCTTGCAGGTCTTCTTAGGGTGCAAGGCTTTGTCTCTGGTCCTCACATGCCTCTACACTTGTCATTTTGGGCACTGCCCTGAGTCCCTGAGTAGCCCCATGGTGCTCATCTTAAACATGAAGGCATGAAGGGCAGAGAAGTGATGAAATGATGCATGACTTTATTAACCAGACAAGATCCTCCTAGTCACTCAGTACGTCCCTAGAGACAAAATCCTGGCATACAAACTGCAGGGAGCTTGACTGGAGGATCCCAGGGCTGGCTGTCATCCCGAGACACAGATTGTCTTCTGAGGCCATGTCCCTATTTATTTGCCCCTGCCCAAGCCCACCATCTTCCTGCTCCCCTTTGTCCTTCCTCCTGCCTGACTCCTCCCCCTTCTCTTTGCTCTTCCTAGGAGGCCTGCTGACTTGTGAGCTCTGCAGAATGTGGGCATGGGTCAAGGCCCAGGGCAGCAAAGACCCAGAATAGGTGAAGGATAAGGTGCTGAGGGGATATTGGACACAGGTCCCCATGGGGCTAGGGATTGACTGCCAGTGAGCAGAATTCCTTGCAGAACCTTAGCTCTGACCTCTGCCTTCCCTCCAGATCTGTTCTCTGCTCCAGGCAGAGCCAGTGGGAGCCCCCTGGTATCTTCTGGTTCCTTATAGCTCCCAACTCTGTGTAGTCCTCTGGGCAGGAGGGACAGGGGAGAGGAGACCAAGAGGAGCCCCACGTTCTGCAGAACCCATCAAGGATACAAGTAAGAGCTGTCCAGAAACTGGGCAGAGGTCTTATAGGACTTGGGCTTGTTTGTCAAAATGGGCTGGGGTGGTTTCCTTACTGTGCTTGGTGTGTGTGTGTGTGTGTGTGTGTGGGGGGGGTCTGGGGGAAGGAAGCAGGGTGTGTGTGGGGGGTACTGTTCAGGGTGAGAGAAGGCTAGAGGGTAGATTTTCTGTTCCAGAAGGTAGGACGCCCTGGGGGTATCTTCCACAGTCTCTGGGCATGGCTGGCTTTGGTTTGTGGTCACTCACCCTTGCAGAATGCAACCCCCCATGGGATGACCAGCACTGAAGGCAGCCCTGGTTGATGGGGTGCTGGTGTTGAGACAGGCTCTTTCTCTTGCCCTCCAGTCTGGGGGCCTCTCATGTCTGCCACCATGGCACTGGTTGCCTGATGGGGGCAGACTGGGATTGGGGGATCTGAATATTCCCTTACTTTGACTCCTGCCAACTCACATCTTACTTGTTTTGGGGGGCCCACTCCTATACCAGGATGTCTAACTGCAAATGTTGGGGAGAGACAGCATTTATATTCGCCCCTTCCCTGTGGGGGTCCAGAAAGACCAGAGAGCCCTCAGAGAAGAACTTTATGTAAGGAGAGGGTGTGGGGACACACTTGGGTCACTGTCACCGTGGGAAGATGCTGCCATCCACCGCCTCCTCCAGAATGGTCTCCACACGCCTCCGCTGCAAGGAGAGGGGCTGGGGTCGGTGTGGGAGGAGGCGAGGGGTCCTCCCACCCACCCAGGGCTTGCCAGAACCTCTTGTCGATCCAGGGGATCCGGAATCCGTGTGGGTTTCAGCTGTGGCGGCAGGAAGGTCTCCAGTCTGATGGCGGCGCGCGCTGAGCCCTGCCGCTGGATCAGGAGCGCAATTTCCTCTGCCTGCGGGCCAAAGCCGGCTGAGCGGCGGCGCGCCTCAGCTGTACCCACCCTCTGCCCACTCCTGCGAGAGGGTGGTCTTCCCTATGGGTGGTGCCCCCGCCCTTGATTCCGGGCCCACCCGCATTCGGGTGTAGCGCAGTCGCAGGGCGCGGACTCGCCCGCGAGCCTCCGCGGCCTTGAGGACGCCCAGCAGCCGGTTCCAGCGCTCGGTGGGTAGCTCGCACTGCGTCCAGGTGCGGGGGTCGGGCACGAGGTACTCCAGCTCTACCGACTCGCGCGGAAAGATGGAGGCGGCTGCACCCACGTCCTTGAGCAGGTCACCGAAAAGCAGGTGGCGGTGTCGCTGCGTGGGGCTCATGGCGGCCAGCCCCTCCAGCGTCAGGGTCCAGCCTGGCTTGGTCGCGGGCACCCGCTTGGCGCGCTCCTCACGAGGCCCGCTTCCTGACGCGCTCTTCCCCACCTGCTCACTCGAGCACTTCCCTGCGGGCGGCGGCATCCGCTGGCCTGAGGAGGGAAAGGGACACCCCGTTTGCTGTCCAACCTTAAACCGGTCCCACCGCGCGGTCCAGCTTTTTCCCCCCCGCTGGATTTGTCGCGGCAGACTTCACTGCCCAACCTTTGGCCTTTTTGAACACAGGTCGTGGCCAAGGCGCTCAGCCGGGTGGTTGACCCACTGCCTCCGGCAGCCAGCGAGGACTTCCTGATCCATTCAGTTTTAGAAACTGCCCTTTCTGCCCACCGAAGGATTGAACTGAGAAAATGCCCCAACCAGGCCATCTCAGGCCTACCCAGGGATAGAGACCACAAGGGACTTCCCTGGGTGAGGCCTATTGACCCCCATTTCTGCGGTCACCTGTCAGCATCCCACTAGAACTCGGGGACTGGTCTTGTCTGTCCTGTCCTGTCCCGGCCCCAGGAGCAGTGGTTTGGGGGTGACCAGCCAGGCCGAGATGGCTGTGCTTGTGTGCCTCCAGGTTCGTGCATGTCTGTGTAGGTGTACATTTTTTTGTGGGGGGTATCTTTGTAGCTCTGTGTGTGTATGGCTGCATGTGTGTGGATGGAGGCTCTGAGCCGACTGCTTTAGGGCAGTCGCCATCATCTTGGCTTGACTCCTGCTGGGCCGAGGCAAGGGGAGCAGAGCTCAGAGAAGAGGGGAAAGCCCAGCGTCCTTCTGGTCCCAGTCGCCCCATCTCACCCTCGGGCCAGATCCTGGCTCACCGTGGGTCAGGAGCAGAGCCAGGGACCGCCGGCCCGCCCCCAAATTTCAGAGTTTCCCACCCGCGCCCACTCGCCCGAACTTCCCGGTTCTCTGTGGGAATCTTCGGTGCTTGTTGATGCGGTTGCCCGGCAACCCGAGCCCTGCCCCCCCCCCAAGGGGGGGGGGGGGGGGGGGGGGGGGCGGCCCCTCAGACTGAAGTGACCTCTGTGCTGTACATACTGACGCACCATTTTGGGGGCCACGGACTCACCATCTGGGCGCGGGAGAGGGCTTTGGGCCTAACTGCAACCATACTTTTAAGGCTGAGATCCTTTCCCATCAGTGCTCATCAGGCACTGGGACAGAATTCAGGGCCCCTCATCCTACCCCTGGGTGATTGGTCCTAGATTTTTGGTGGCGTTCTTTTTTTTTTTTTTTTTTTTGTCTTTTTTGGAACTGGGGATCGAACCCAGTGCTTTGCGAATGCAAGGCAGATGCTTTGCCACTGAGCTGCATACCAGCCCGGTCCTAGATTTTCATAATCTATTTGTCATTTATTAATTTTATGATACAATGACAATTTTAGTTTCTCAGTTTATTAATTCTGTAATGATTCATGCACATATCAGGTATTCACATACTCATTCCACAGTTTAGTTAGACTAAGGTTAGTGCAGATTTAATCATAGTGTGTTCCTGTCTGCATTGCTTCCCAATCCTATCATACCTGTTCCTAGGTAGGCAGATGGTACCTTCTGGAGTTCAGAGCCAGAACTCTACAGGTGCAGCTTCCTGGCTGAGGTGCCGGTCACTGAGCATCCCAGGGCCTTCCTGATGCTGACCCCCTCCTGTGTGTGCCTGGGCATCAGCACTGTCGGGGAAGGCACTGCACAGAGGGGGTGGGGAGGTTTTACCGTGGTCCTTCTTCTGGGATGTGGGCACAGGGAGCTGGAGAGAGTTCTGTCCTGTCAGAAGGGACTTGTAGCTTTCCCTTGGTATAAATAAGAAGCATTGATGCAGGGAGGGGGGGAGGAGGAGCAGGAGGACTCCCTGCCCCTGCACTGGGGCTGGGCGCCAGGGCTGGCACCAGGGAGGCATGGAGGTGGGTGCACCCTTTGCAGATGCTGTGTTCATTCTGGCACCAACTCTGCCCAGATGCAGGTGACGTCCCACATGGCCCTGTTGGCTCCACTGCGACTTGTGGGCACGTGCTCCTTTCATGGGTGACATTCATGTCTGGGCCATCCCTGATTTCCTTGCATGCCTTGTTTTGCCTGTGTATGACATGTGCACATAACATGTCCCCTGATGAGCTTTGTGTGACTCGTATGTTCTGGTCAGGCCCAGGCTCTGCCTGCACCCCTCTTGAGGGCTCACTGAGTTCTGGTCAGGGTAAGAGAAGTCTGCCATTTCTTCTGCACTGCCAGTCCCCCTTTGTGGGAAGGTAGTCTGCATCTCATCCTGGTCACCAACCATCAGATGACAAGCCTGTCCTCCCACCTGTGATCGTATCTATGAGGGGCCAAGAGGCCTCCTTTGTCTGGCCTTTGTGCCAGCCTCCATGGAGACTTCCACAGGTGTCCACTGAGATCGCTCACAGCCTGCCTGCAGCACTGCAGCAGTTGGTGTGGAGGCCCTGTGGTGGGCTGAGGGCTCCAGGGCTGGGGTCAGGGGCAAGGCAGGACTGGAGCCCCCTGGGGCAGGACCCATATGGGTGTGGCAGCCCCAGGGACATGTGAGATAATCAGACTGGTGTGTCCTGTGGCTCTGCTCTGCCGACCCTCACAGTACCTACAGCATCCCCTTCTCCAGGACAGGATCTGGGCTGGGAGGCAGCAAAGGCCATTAGGAAATGAGGCTCTGAAGATGGGCAGACAGGAAGGGGCAGCTGGAGTGGGAACTCTGGGCTCACCTAGGGAAGGAGCTGCAGGAATCTGAGCCTCCCCTGGCCCAGAGGTCTGGGGTCAGACCCTGAGGTCTGGGGTCAGCCTTGTCTGGAGAGTGTGTGTGAGAGTGTGTGTCTCCTGGGTGTTAGAGAGCCTCGGCTGGTGTTTGCCTGTTCCCGTGGGCGTCTGTGCTTTCTCTGAGTCTGCCAACATGCCTGTGTACACCTTGTAATGGTTTGCATGTATGTGGCTCTGGTGTGCATCCCTAAGCATGTACCTGTGTCTCTGTGTATTTATCCCGTGCTTGTCTAGGTATCTGTGTACATGTTTGCTGGTATGTGTTCCCCAAATGTCACATGTATTCCTGAGTCTCAGCTGCAGTGGAGATGCAGAGACAATCCTGGGGGACAGCTGGGGATGCTGAGTCCTGGGGCGTCTGATTGCTCTGGCCTCTCCTGATTTGACAGGTATCCTAGCAACACTGTTGTCAGTTGCCTAGCAACCAGATCCCCATCCTTGGAAAAGAAGCAGGGTCTGGCTGTGTGGGGGGAGGTCTAGCTCTCCTTTACATCCTGTGTAGGAAGAACAACCCCATGACTGTTCAGTGCAGGGGTCACCCACATGGCCTTGACTTGTAACCTTTCATTTCAGTGTGCTTATGACCTCTGTGCTGGCAAGGAGGCAGATCCATGGGAGTGATTCAGCTGTGTGAATGCCAGGGCCCTTCTCTGGGGCCCAACTGTGGAGATGCCCTTGGTGTGGCTCCATGTGACAAGCAGACCTGGGCTTTCCCAGCCTGCCAGGTGGACAGGGGTCTTTACACCTCTGAGGTTTCACATTCTCATCTGCTGGAGAGATGTGCGTGGCAGCAGCCGTGTGTGCTGGGGAATGGGCTTGTTTGTTCAGGCATGGCGTATGGTAGGCACAAGCAGCACACAGTAGGTGTGGTTGCAGTGCTGGGTTCAGCACCCTTCTGCTTGTTTACAGCAAGGCTCTGAGAACTGGCTGGGCCGGACATTGCTGTCTGCCTGCCCACTGGGCTCTGCCGACTGTGGAGCCTGGCTGAGGGGTGCTGTTCTAGGCAGGGAGGCCATCCAAGGCTGGTCTGGACCAGGCTGTCCAAGGCTGTGACTGCATGTGTTGGGGGCCCACGTCTGCCTGAGTGGGTCTGTCTGTAGGGTTCTCCCTGAGTTCCTGTTCCTGGGACTCTGTTGTCTGAGCCTGTGTCCTCATATGTGTCTGAGTTCTGGTCTGTGTCTGCATCTGTGTCTGTGCACATCCATGTCATGTGTCCTGGCCTGTGTGTGGGTCTGTTGGGTCTGTGGGTCCCTCTCTTTATGTGTGCCCTGATCTCATGTCTGTTTCCATGTGGTATGGGGCCCAGGTGGCCCTGGGCAGCCGTCATCCTCCTTCCATAGACCCCTCCTCCAGCCTGCGCAGCCCCTCCTGCTCTGGAGCAGCAGCCTCCTCCCCCTCCCCCTCCCCCAGCTCCTGGCTGCCGCACTTGCTGCACTCGCCACTGCGTCTAGTCTGGCGTCTGCTGAGAAGCAGCAGCTACGCTGCAGCCCCATCCAGACCCTGCGCTGAGGCAAGGAGCGAGCCGCCTAGCCCCACTCTGCTTCAGCCTCTCCATCCATCTGCCCAGGGCTGGGGTCTCCTCAGTCCCCATTCCCAAAGAAGTCGTGGAGATAGGGCCTGAGGTGCTAGAGGTAAGTGGGGGGCCCTGCTCTGCAGGGCTGGGAGGGGCAGGAGAAGGCTGTGCCCGGGTGTTCCTGGGCATGTCTCAGGGGCGCTAGTGTCTGTTCTGTGTGTGCATGAGGGTGGTTTGGGCATTTTTGTGTTCATATGTGTGCATCACATCACCTTTGAACATACGTGGCTGTGTTCCCGAGTCCCTGTGGGTGGATGTGTGTCCTTGTGTAACCATCTCCATGCAGTCCACGTTTGAGTCTGTCAACCAAATGCGAGGTACCTTTGTGGGCATGAGTGTCTCTGTGTTCTGTGTCCCTCTCTTGCATACACCCTTGTGTCTCCATGTGTGTCTGTGTGTAAGCACAGGCTGTATCCTCACGTGTGTGCTTTGTCCTGCATGTGTGCTTTGGTGTCTGCAGCCAGCCCCGGGGTCTGCATGCCTGTTTGGGCTGCACCTGCTGGGCTCTGCGTCCTGTGTGGGTGTGTGCCTTGCCACATGGTCACTTGTTCCTGTGCCCTGTCCCAGGTCCTATACAGACTGATTTTTCAGGGCAGCAGAATGGAGTCGCTCTTTCCTGCCCCACTCTGGGAGGTCCTCTACAGCAGCCACCTTCAGGGCAACCTGTCCCTCCTGAGTTCCAACCACAGTGTGATGCCCCCCCACCTGCTGCTCAATGCCAGCCGTGGCTCTTTCCTGCCCCTTGGGCTCAAGGTCACCATCGTGGGGCTTTACCTGGCCGTGTGCATCGGGGGGCTGCTGGGGAATTGCCTCGTCATGTACGTCATCCTCAGGTAGGTGGGGCCCATTTCTCTGTGAGTCCCATACAGCTGCAGATGGGAGACTGAGGCAGGAGGCTGTTTGGGACGGACCTGAGCAGATGGGGGTATCTTGCTGCTTCCATTAAGTTCCTTTTCTCCCTGTCCAGGGAGCGGGATCTATCCTGAGGCCCTGGATGCTTAGTCCTTTCCCCAGCCTGTCTGTCCAGGTAGTGACGTCACCTCCCTAGACCCTGGTCTGAGCTGTGCTGAGCTGACTGTGAGTGACCTCGTGGGCTCCATAGCGGCCCTAGGAGTTGGCCCTCCTCAGTGCTTGCCAACCTCTCCCACAGGGACAGGCCTCCCTGAGGCCCCTCTCCTCTGAGCCTGGATCTGCTGGTGCTCAGAGATGGGAGAGCTTGGGGACCAGAGGAGATGCTAGTGCCAGGTGGTTAGGGTGGTGGCACAGCTGGGTGGCCATGGGGGCACTGTGGGGGCATTGTGGGGCTGCACTGTGAGGTGGGTAAGGAACCCTTCACGTGGCACATGCCCTGGGCACATGTGGCAGAAGGGGAGGGATTTCTGGGCTGGGGAGATGAGGGACCCTGTGTTCCTCTGGGTGGGAGAGAGTCGAGTGCACTGCAGATAGTGAGTGGGGTCTTGAAAGGAGCCTTGGGAGACTTGAGCAGGAAAACAAGGAACCAGTGAGTTTTTACTGGCTCAGGGTGTTCTCTCTGACCCAGAAAGAGGTGATTCTGAAGAAATGCTCAGGGCTCTGAAGCAAGCGTCCCTCCATAGGGCCTCGCAGGCTCCCAGGAAGCTGCTGGGTAGCAGTGGTGTTGGTGGAGGCAGAACAGGACAGTGGAGTGTCCAGTCCCTGACTCCCCAACTGTCCTCTGAGCATCCCTGACAAACCCCATTTCTCTGTGAGCCTTGTTTCTCCATCCAGAAAGTGGGAAGGACAGGCCACATAGCCACGTGTATGTGTATGGTGTGTGTGTGTGTGTGTGTGTGTGAGAGAGAGAGAGAGAGAGAGAGAGAGAGAGATGCATGGTTGGATAAGGGGAAGAGCAGCTTTGCCCTTCACAGTACTGACCTCTAGGGAGGACCCTAGGGAGGGTCCTGCCTGACCCACAGGCCTCTGTGGCCAGAAGTGCAGCCGCCTGGGGGCAGCCATGTACCCTGACCACCTTCCTGCTAACAGCACCTCCCTGTGTCTCCTTGTACTGGGCATCACAGCCACTTCCTGGATTATAGTAGACATGGAGGCCTTCTTGACCACCAGTGTCCTCAGAAAGACCCATGCTGAGGAGCTGCCATGTCCACACCACTCAATTGGTGGCACAGAGTGCGTTTTGAGCCATCAGACTGGGGTGGCTTCTAGGAGTTAAAACACCTGGTTCCAAGCCCCACTCGCTTTTTATCAGCTCTAAGGCCCTAACAAGTTTCATAGACTCGGTATGGTGGCACATGGCTGTAATCCCAACTCAGGAGGCTGAGGCAGGAGGATTGTGAGTTGGAGGCCAACCTGGACAACTTAGTGAGACCCTATCTTGAAAAATAAAGGGCTGGGATGCAGCTCAGTGATAGAGTACCCCTAGATTAACTCACCAGTACCATGAAAAAAAAAAAAAAGGAAAAAGAAAGTAAGCTACTTAGGGCATCTGAGCTTTAGTTCTCTCCCCCATACAGCGGCAATCCAGTAGCATCTCTGTGAATCTTAGATGAGATAACATCCATGGAGGAGCTTGACACAGGGAGGTACCATCATTGTCACTGCTGTTCGCATTGAGGTTGCAACTCGGCCTCTTTGTGCTTATTCTTTTTCTTTTGGTACCAGGAATTGAAACCAGGGCAGTTAACTTGTGAGCCATATCCCAAACCCTTTTTAATATTTTATTTAGAAACAGGATCTCTCTGAGATTCCTAGGGCCTTTCCACGTTTCTGAAGCTGCCTCTGAGCTCAGCGTCCCCCTGCCTCACCTTCTTGAGCTGCGGGATCGAGGCACGCACCACTGCACTGGCCGTCTTTGTGCTGCTGCTTTCCTTTCCCCCCAATATTTTTCAGTAGTAGATGGACACGATACCTTTATTTTGTTCATTTATTTTTATGTGGTGCTGAGACTCAGACCCAGGCCTCACACGTGCCAGGCGAGTGCTCCACCCCAGCCCCCATCTTTGTGCTTATTCTTAATCTCTAATAAACAGAACGGAACCCCAGGTTATTTTATGGCAACTAAATCGACGTGGAATATCGTCACCTCTGGTGCTTTAACTGCCACCACCACCACCACCATCCTTACCATCATCATTATCACTATCAACACCAACACCACCCTCATATCTCCACTGTCACTGTCATCACCATGATCATCG